AGTGCTGCAGGACTGGGGAGACTCCTGAGCCCTGTTCTAGGGCTGGAGACCCACCTCTGCCTCCCCAGCACCAATGGCAAGAGATGGAGCTGCCCGAGGGACCCCAGCCCCCACCACGGGGGATCTCTGTCCCAGGGCACCCAATCCCAGACCAGCCCTCGCCCCAAGAAACACCCATAGAGACCCCATTAAGCCCACCCTGGCCCATGTGGGGGTAAACGGGGCTTTGCTTTGCCTGGGTGCATCTGACGCCCACCCTGGGTAGTGATCTGCCACCTCACCCCACGGAAGGGTACGCAGCGTCCTCACACTCCTGGGGCAGACCCACACGGCCGTGGTGCGACGTGGGTCTGGCCCGGTGTGCCCAACCCACAGCCAGGGCGGGGAGAACCCACATGGTGCCCAACCTGGGGCCAAGCCTGGCCCATGGGGGGGCCAGCACATGGCCCCGGATCTGCAACTCACCATCAAGGATGTGAAACTCATCTGCAGAGTCACAAAACCCTGCAAGAGACAGAGCCTGGAGGGGTCACCCTGCCTGGGCACCTGGCACCCCCCAGTGACCCCAGGGACACTGTGGAGCACAGCCTTGCATCTTTGTCCCTGGGGTGGGTGCAGCATAGGGACAGACCCCACGCACGGCCCTGCTGTGGGTGACACAGGGCCACAAGCTGCCCACCCATGTGGATGTGCCTCCCCCTCCCCACACTGGAGCGGCCGGACCCTAACCCCTGCCGCTGGGCCCCTCTCCTGTGTGCAACCCTCGCCACGGGTACCCCTGCCCCCGGGGGACCATGTGCCACCCACCGTATGTGGGGAAGTAGTAGGTCAGGTCTTCGCTCAGGCCCACAGCCCTGGCGCGCTGCTCGAACTTGTCCGCAACAGCATCACTGACCCGGCTGGTCCGTCCTGCACAGGGAGGAAGATGCCATCAGTGACCTTGAGCCCTGCCTGCCCCTGCTCCAACGCCCCTCATGCCCCCTGCTGCAAGGCTCGGGGCCAAGAAGCCTTTCAGCTCAGTGAAGCCAGTCCCGGTGCCCCCCTTACCAGCTCCCCTCCACAGCATTTGGGGACAATCTGGGGACCGGAATCCACAGGGAGACCTCATGGCTCCAGTGGGCATCCCCTGAGCCCAGCACCGTTTTCCCACTCCTCTGCTGCCCCCTTCCTCCCTCCGCCCCACGCCCGCGGGCACTGACTCACCATAGAGTTTGACGGAGATGCTCCGGCCCTTCTGGAAATAGAGGATGGCGTAGCTGCGGTGGTCCGTCTCGCCCACTACCACATCCACCTTACTGCCATAGCCACGGCCTGGGAAGGGGCAGGGGGCAGCCCCAGTTAACCTGCATTAGCCCTGGCACCATCCAGGGGCCTTGTTTCACCATGAGTGGGGTGTCCAAGGGGTGAAAGTCAGGGCCAGAGTGGGTGCAGCCCCACAGGGTGCTGTTCCCCAGCAGTGGGCACCAAGCTCTACCCGTGCCGTCATCCGGCACTGGGTCACTTTGAGACGCCACAGGTGAGCTACTGGGAGGGCACTGGGAGGGAGGACACTGCTACCAAAGCCCTGCCAAGAGCAGGAGTTGGGGCTCCAGCTCGATGGTCTCCGCAGCCCCCAGGCCACCCCAGCCCAGCCTGCCTCACCCTTCAGGAGGAAGCGTCCGGGGCCCTGGGCAGGGAGGTAGCGCTGCCGGATTTCCCAGCACATCCCGTCCCTGTACAAGGAGAGGAGGAGGCTGTCAGCTCAGGCTGGGCAGGATCCAGCCCACGTCCCTGCCCGCCCCGCTTGCCAGGGCACACAGAGGGTCTGTTTTCTTGGGCCTTTGTTTTCTCCCTGGGGAGATACTGCAAAGAGATGGCCCAGAGCCCCGCGGAGACATAGAGCCTGAAAACCTGCTGAGCATGATGGGTCCTTGCCCCCTCCCTGTGGGTCTGAGCCTGGCTCAGCCCCTCGGCCGCCAGACCAGTGGGAAGCACCCATGGATGCGCTGAAGATCGCCCTCCTCAGCCATGCTGCTGCTGGGCATCCATGGAGCAACCACATGCTTGACCAGTGCCTCAGTTTCCCCAGCCTGCCTGACCCCCAGCCTGAGCAGCCCAAGGCCACCCAGGCTGCTGGTTGTGCAGGTGGCAGGGTGCCAGCCCGCTGTGGCCAGGGCTTCTACCACAAAACATCCCAGTGGACATCCCACCCACACTTTGCTCTGGGGCAGCTCTCTCCTCCTTGGAGCCCATGGCCTAGCGCACTGGCCCTGCTCTGACCTGCCTGCAGCGCTCCCAGCCCACCCAGTGTCCCTCGTCCCATCCCAGGGTGCTGGCCCTGCTCTGACCTGCCTGCAGCGCTCCCAGCCCACCCAGTGTCCCTTGTCCCCATCCCGGGATGCTGGCCCTGCTCTGCCCTG